GGTAGATGCCATCTCGCTTTCTGGATGTCCAGACCAGCCCAATAAGCTCACTTAAGTACAAGATGACAGGCTCCTATAATAGCAAACACTTCAATTTACTTAAAGCAATGTAGCTTGGGAGGTGGTTTGGCACAATAAAGGGAACACGTACACTTAATCTGGGCCCTGCCAATGAAAGGTTCTTGAGTTCCCCAGGCCTGTTTCCTCATCTTAACACAGGCAAGGTGATCTCTGAGGTCTCTACCGAAAGGCCTAAGATTCCTCTTTTTTTTTTTCCCCTTCCTTTTTCTGTTTTTTTTTTTTTTTTTTTTTTTTTTTTTTAGGTTTTTAACATTTACTCATTTTTGAGAGAGAGAGAGAGAGAGAGAGAGATAGACACAGAATCTAAAGCAGGCTTCAGGCTCTGAGCTGTCAGCACAGAGCCTGATGTGGCGCTCCAACCCACGAACCGCGAGATCATGACCTGAGCCGGAGTCAGACGCTCAACCAACTGAGCCACCCAGGCACCCCTTCTGGTTAGTTTCTAAACCGTAAGAGTGGGAGTGTTTTGAACCTTATGTGTAAAGTCTCAGCAATTCATGAAAATCATAGCAATCAATTAAGGCTCATTTTCTAATTTTTGTATTTTAAGTGTAACTACAGGTCTTAATTTAATTGTGTAGGGTGCGCACTGCATTTTTTAGAGATAGTAACGACAGGTGGTAACTTAGCTTGACATTGTAAAGAAAACCTCCTCCTTCCCCCAGGACCTATGTTTATCACAACAATGTTTATACAGACTTACCTATAACTGAAATAACCCAAATATACAAGAGCAGGGATTTAAATTATCATCATCCTGTTGATAGGCTACAACTATTGGAAATTACATACAAGAATATTTCATCATGTGGAAAAATATGGGAAGTCAAAGTATATTCAGGGTTTTATTCCTTAGTTATAAAAGCTGTGTGCACTTGAATAGGGGAAAAAAAAAGGTAAGAATGGTAATAGCGATTTTTCTGGGTTGTAGATTAACTTAGTATGTCCAAAACCCAAGTAAATGAATAAAGGGGTGTGCATCTCAAGTGTGGAGACCCAAGCAATCCTGGTACCCAAAATAGATGCATCCATGCGATGAAAGCTAAATCAAGTGTTCGCGGAATGGGCAGGATAGGCCACACAGATGGGGACACTTCAGAGATGGGGAGAGAGGTCAGAGGTGAGAAATTAGACAGGCCAGGTCCTCATTGTTAAGACTAACCCCAGCAACGTGAAGACAGGACAGCAAACAGTAGAGCAGAGGCTGGGGACAAGAGGCAGGACTACTCAGGACTGAGATGAGCCTTGCTACCCAATGCCACCTTTTAATGAGCTGCTTTTAGAGCGGTCTCTGATGTTATTGCTCACCAAGGTTTCAGGAGGTTGATCCTGTGAGTGCCACAAACAAGGTGCTCAATGCTTTTTCCATCTTTACGTCTACGTGAGATGGGGAGCATTTTTCCCACTTCATAAACACAGACACAGGTTAGCTAAACTAGTAAAGGGATGATACACAAATCCAGGTCTAACAGACTTCAAAGCCTGCACAGGAGTCATGCCCTCTCACCCCCCCCCCCCCCCCC